CGTTTGATCATGTTGTTTTGTCAAAAGGAGGCTTTTTAGTCCATACAAAACGACATTTTACTATAGTCGAAAAATTTGCATATTTTAAGACGGGTTAACCCAAGATTCTCCTCAAAAGTTGCAAATATCTTTCAAGCCCACTTTTCTGTACAAGAGGATTTGGTTTTGTCGTTTGATCATGTTGTTTCGTCAAAAGGAGACTTTTTAGTCCATAAAAACGACATTTTACTATACTCGGAAAATTGGCATATTTTAAAACGGGTTAACCCATGATTCTGGTCATAAGTTCCAAATATCTTTCGAGCCCACTTTTATGTAAAAGAGACCTTGGTTTTGTCCTTTGTTGATGTTGTTTTGTCAAAAGGAGGCTTTTTAGTCCAAAAAAACGACATTTTACTATAGCGAAAACTTTGCATATTTTTAAACGCTTTAACCCATGATTCTGGTCAGAAGTTCCAAATATCTTTCGAGCCTACTTTTCTGTACAAGAGACCTTCGTTTTGTCGTTTGATCATGTTGTTTTGTCAAAAGGAGGCTTTTTAGTCCATAAAAACGACATTTTACTATAGTCGAAAAATTGGCATATTTTAAAACGGGTTAACCCATGATTCTGGTCATAATTTCCAGATATCTTTCGAGCCTACTTTTCTGTACAAGAGACCTTGGCTTTGTCGGTTGATCATTTTGTTTTGTCAAAAGGAGGCTTTTTAGTCCATAAAAACGACATTTTACTATAGTCCAAAAATTGGCATATTTTAAAACGGGTTAACCCATGATTCTTGTTACAAGTTCAAATTATCTTTCGAGCCTACTTTTCTGTATCAGAGTCCTTAGTTTTGTCGTTTGATCATGTTGTTTTGTCAAAAGGAGGCTTTTTAGTCCATAAAAACGACGTTTTAGTATAGTGGAAAAAGTTGCATATTTTAAAACGGGCTAACCCAGGATTCTCGTCAAAAGTGCCAAATATCTTTTCAGCCTACTTTTCTGTACAAGAGACCTTCGTTTTGTCGTTTGATCATGTTGTTTTCTTAAAAGCAGGCTTTTTAGTCCATAAAATCTATATTTTACTATAGTCGATAAATTTGCATATTTTAAAGCGGGTTAACCCATGATTCTTGTCAAAAGTTAAAAATATCTTTCAAGCCCACTTTTCTGTACAAGAGACCTTAATTATGTCGTATGATCATGTTGTTTTGTCAAAAGGAGGCTTTTTAGTCCGTAAAAACGACATTTTACTATAGCGAAAACTTTGCATATTTTTAAACGCGTTAACCCATGATTCTGGTCAGCAGTTCCAAATATCTTTCGAGCCTACTTTTCTGTATAAGAGACCTTCGTTTTGTCGTTTGATCATGTTGTTTTGTCAAAAGGAGGCTTTTTAGTCCATAAAAACGACATTTTACTATAGTCGAAAAATTGGCATATTTTAAAACGGGTTAACCCATGATTCTGGTCATAAGTTCCAAATATCTTTCGAGCCTACTTTTCTGTAAAAGAGACCTTGGTTTTGTCAGTTGATCATGTTGTTTTGTCTAAAAGAGGCTTTTTAGTCCATAAAAACGACATTTTACTATAGTTGAAGAATTTGCATATTTTATAACGGGTTAACCAATGATTGTGGTCATAAGTTCCAAATATGTTACGAGCCTACTTTTCTATAAAAGAGAAATTTGTGTTGTCGTTTGTTGATGTTGTTTTCTCAAAATGAGGCTGTTTAGTCCATAAAAACGACATTTTACTATAGTTGAAAAATATGCATATTTTAAAACGGGTTAACCCATGATTCTGGTCATAAGTTCTAAATATCTTTCGAGCCTACTTTTCTGTACAAAATACCTTGGTTTTGTCGTTTGATCATGTTGTTTTGTCGAAAGGAGGCTTTTTAGTCCATAAAAACGACATTTTACTATAGTCGAAAAATTTGCATATTTTAAAACGGGCTAACCCTGGATTCTCGTCAAAAGTTCCAAATATCTTTCAGGCCCACTTTTCTGTACAAGAGACCTTGGGTTTGTCGTTTGATCATGTTGTTTTGTCAAAAGGAGGGTTTTTAGTCCATAAAAACGACATGTTACTATAGTCGAAAAATTGGCATATTTTAAAACGGGTTAACCCGTGATTCTGGTCATCAGTTCCAAATATCTTTCGAGGGCACTTTTCTGTAAAAGAGACCTTGGTTTTGTCGTTTGTTGATGTTGTTTTGTCAAAAGGAGGCTTTTTAGTCCATAAAAACGACACTTTACTATAGTCCAAAAATTTGCATATTTTAAAACGGGTTAACCCATGATTCTTGTTAGAAGTTCAAATTATCTTTCGAGCCTACTTTTCTGTATCAGAGTATTTAGTTTTGTCGTTTGATCATGTTGTTTTGTCAAAAGGAGGCTTTTTAGTCCATAAAAACGACGTTTTAGTATAGTCGAAAAATTTGCATATTTTAAAACGGGTTATCCCAGGATTCTCGTCAAAAGTTCCAAATATCTTTCAAGCCCACTTTTCTGTACAAGAGACCTTGGGTTTGTCGTTTGATCATGTTGTTTTGACAAAAGGAGGCTTTTTAGTTCATAAAAACGACATTTTTCTATAACGAAAACTTTGCATATTTTTAAACGGGTTAACCCATGATTCTGGTCAGAAGTTCCACATATCTTTCAAGCCCACTTTTCTGTACAAGAAACCTTCGTTTTCTCGTTTGATCATGTTGTTTTGTCGATAGGAGGCTTTTTAGTCCATAAAAACGACGTTTTAGTATAGTAAAAAAATTTGCATATTTTAAAACGGGTTAACCCATGATACTGGTCATCAGTTCCAAATATCTTTTCAGCCTACTTTTCTGTTCAAGAGACCTTCGTTTTGTCGTTTGATCATGTTGTTTTGTTAAAAGGAGTCTTTTTAGTCCATAAAATCTATATTTTACTATAGTCGATAAATTTGCATATTTTAAAACGGGTTAACCCATGATTCTGGTTAGAATTTCAAATTATCTTTCGAGCCTACTTTTCTGTATCAGAGACCTTAGTTTTGTCGTTAGATCATGTTGTTTTGTCAAAAGGAGACTTTTTAGTCCATAAAAACGACATTTTACTATAGTCGGAAAATTGGCATATTTTAAAATGGGTTAACCCATGATTCTGGTCATCAGTTCCAAATATCTTTCGAGCCCACTTTTATGTAAAAGAGACCTTGGTTTTGTTCTTTGTTGATGTTGTTTTGTTAAAAGGAGGCTTTTTGGTCCATCAAAACGACATTTTACTATAGCGAAAACTTTGCATATTTTTAAGAATAAGAATTTCCATATTTTATAACGGGTTAACCCATGATTCTGGTCAGAAGTTCCAAATATCTTTCGAGCCTACTTTTCTATAAAAGAGACATTTGTCTTGTCGTTTGTTGATGTTTTTTTTCTCAAAAAGAGGCTTTTTAGTCCATAAAAACGACATTTTACTATAGTTGAAGAATTTGCATATTTTAAAACGGGTTAACCCATTATTATGGTCATAAGTTCCAAATATCTTTCGAGCCTACTTTTCTGTACAAGAGACCTTGGGTTTGTCGTTTGATCATGTTGTTTATTCAAAAGGAGGCTTTTTAGTCCATAAAAACGACGTTTTACTATAGTCAAAAAATTTGCATATTTTAAAGCGAGTTAACCCATGATTCTGGTCATCAGTTCCAAATATCTTTTCAGCCCACTTTTCTGTACAAGAGACCTTCGTTTTGTTGTTTGATCATGTTGTTTTGTCAAAAGGAGGCTTTTTAGTCGATAAAAACGACATTTTACTATAGTCGAAAAATTGGCATATTTTAAAACGGGTTAACCCATGATTCTGGTCAGAAGTTGCACATATCTTTCGAGCCTACTTTTCTGTAAAAGAGACATTGGTCTTGTCGTTTATTAATGTTGTTTTGTCAAAAGGAGGCGTTTTAGTCCATAAAAACGACATTTTACTATAGTCCAAAAATTTGCATATTTTAAAACGGGTTAACCCATGATTCTGGTTAAAATTTCAAATTATCTTTCGAGCCTACGTTTCTGTATCAGAGACCTTAGTTTTGTCGTCTGGTCATGTTGTTTTGTGAAAGGAGGCTTTTTAGTCCATAAAAACTACATTTTACTAAAGTCGTAAAATTTGCATATTTTAAAACGGGTTAACCCAGGATTCTCGTCAAAAGTTCCAAATATCTTTCAAGCCCACTTTTCTGTACAAAAGACCTTGGTTTTGTCGTTTTATCATGTTGTTTCGTCAAAAGGAGACTTTTTAGTCCATAAAAACGACATTTTACTATAGTCGGAAAATTGGCATATTTTAAAACGGGTTAACCCATGATTCTGGTCATCAGTTCCAAATATCTTTCGAGCCCACTTTTATGTAAAAGAGACCTTCGTCTTGTCGTTTTTTGATGTTGTTTTGTCAATAGGAGGCTTTTTAGTCTATAAAAACGACATTTTACTATAGCGAAAACTTTGCAAAAGTTTACCAATGCATTTTTAGACTACAACACAAGATAAGCTTATTTTTGCACTTTTGGACCTGATCAGTTACCATGGCAACCAATAATGGCAAAAAGATACCCCCCCAGAGTTGCCCGTACTAAAACACTTATATCTCCAACACGTTACAAAGAAAAATGCTAAAACTTCTGGAATTTATTCTTTAAATGCTATTTCATACAATGAACTAAAGAAATACTGTTCAGTCTTATAGATCCAAAATTATCGCAAGAAGCATATTGACATTCAAAATTCAGTGAAATAAGGATCCAACTTTGGCCTGTTAGACAACAAGGATTGCACCAGAGTACATGATTGTAGTTCATTGCATGTAAAAATATATGGAGATTTTTCACTCCAAAAATGAAAAGAATTGAATAAAACCATGGAAAGTTATGGCTGCTAGCATGTTGCTAATTCCGTAAAATTCAAAATTATGAGAAAAAATGGGTTACAGTTTGTGAAATGAAATTCCTGAGACTGTCACAGAGTTCCTGCAAATATAACTCAATTAGAACTCTCCAGAGGCATAGTTTACACCCTCTCTTTGCTTGTTTTTGTCATCGTTTCTTTTCTTCAGGCCTCTGATGACTTTTCTCCTCTTCTTAGTGCTTGCTTTATTTTTATACTCCGCACCGTCCACTCGTAGCTGATCTTGAAGTTTGCACCCCTCTTCAGTATATTTTCCAGGAGGAATGTTTAAGCCTTGGAACAGCTTGATAACAGTTACTGCTCCAATATTAAAATGGGAAACTGCATCATACAGTCCTAATTCTAATGTTTCTCTTCCAACGTAAACTTCTTTTGGGACTCTTTGCCAAATCATTCCATTTAAAGATTCATTTTGATTCTGTGTCTTGCCATGCAAGCACTTCTCAAGCAAGCTGTCCTCACTGAGTCGAATATACTCTGGCTTTAATTTTGCAACTACCTCTAAAGGTAAGCCTGGCCCATGCTTGTAAAGCTTTGTGCCATTGGCTTTATTCTGCTGATACCGGCACCAGCTTGCACTGCCTGTTGGGCAATGATCATGAAGTGGGCGTGCCTCAGTAGATGCTACAATGCATCAGGCTAGCATGAATGGCTTTCTTCATGCCAGCAAGATCTCCAACATTTGATCTTATGGCTATGCCATAATAGTTCTGTAGTTTATCAATTTGACTGTCTGTCAGTTTTCCCTTGCCTCCCAGGCCTGGATTCTCACGCTTCAATTTACGAAGTGTAGTTCCCACTCTCTTCTGGACATGACCAATACATTCCTTCTTTCCCATTTCAATACCAGCATCTTCATAAACTCCTTTTACTCGACTGAAACTTTTACTGTCACCGTCCCCATAGAATTCAGTGTATCTGAGGTTGTGCAGTTCTAAAGACCTTTGAAATATGCGCTCTGCTCCTTCCGGCTCCATAGCTGGTGCTGATCCCCAAAAATTAGCTTTACACTTAGTGTGCTCAGCTCTCCAAGTCTGATATTCAAGAGATGTTTTATCTAAGTGTTCATGGCGCTCACATTGTTTGCAACCTTGACTGAGGGCTTCTACATCGAGCACCCTTCCTGTGTCCATGGATATTACTGTCACACAACCATTGCGTGACGAGGATGTGTCTGAAGAAATATGATTGGCCACATCTACAACAGAGAGACATGTGACGTCACGCTACCATAGTAGCTAAATTTCTGGATCGCAACAATCTTTCTTGACGGAGACAGCCATCTTTTTTATTGAACGATGGAAGAAAAACATGAGCCACCGTTTTGTTCTTGAGATCAATCACGCTCAGGAAAGTCAAACATACATTTTTGGGTGTTTTCTCTGTCATATTTACAGGACCACGATTTGTTGACATACAGAGGTTTTGCTACCATGGTAACAAGACGTAACGACTTCTCTTCTCTATTGGTATAATATTTAATGGCGCGAGACCAATTATTGTGGAATAAATAAAAACATTTTAGGAATGAGCAAGACTGAGTTAGACATCATCGAGGTTGGTAGTAACTGGTGAATTAGGAACCTTGCTGCTGGTAGGTGGGTCTCGATCGAAATCCGGCGTCAGTTGTTGGTATTATTAGGCTCTGTAGCTACTGTCTTGAGCTGTGCATGAATAGATTAAAGGGCACCGTAGGGATATACGAACTAAAACCTCAGCTGCTCTGAACACGCCAATGAGACCAAAGATTCAGGTAGAGATTATTCGATTTGGGACGGCTAGCCTGCGAGCAAGCTCTCAATTTGCGGAAGTCGCGAAAAGTCACTACAAACTCGGTCAATATCACCCAGCCGAGGTACGATGTCTTATTATATCTCGTAGTTAGTGCGCGCTGTGATTGGTCACCTGGAAACAAAAAACTCGGTTCGCAACTTACAGTGCGGACCTCGAACTCGGTTAGTAAGAGGTATGAAATATCACCCTGGTGAAAACAATTGTCCAACTTTCAAATAAGCGCCGCCCTCAGTGAAACAAGCAGCGCATTTTAGACGTAAAAAATTTAATAAGCACCATGGCGCTTCATCCATTAGGTATGTTATAAAAAAATAGGGTAAAAACAAAACAGAAATGACCGAATCTCTAAAGATATGACTCTTTAGGATCCAATAACTGGTTTAAAAGCGGCACCTTATAACTAACATGCATGGCGTCTTTTAGTTTGACTCAGTTGCCAAGTCAAAATGATAAGAGAAAAAAATAAAAGCCTTTTGCCATCATTGACGCCACTAATTCAAAATTTTGAATCAAGCTTAAAAAAGGAAGAAAAAAAGAAAGAAAAAAGAAAAACACCCGAGAATGAGTCAACGCTAACTATTTCCAACCGTTTGTTTTCATTTACATCCCAATCTGGAGTCCAGGTGTTTCAGTCTATTTTGTCAAAACAACTCCGCTTAAATTTTATTCCATTTATTTCTGTGTTTTTTTGTAGATCACAGCTACAAAGTCGCAGAAAAGTAGAAAGTCTACGTTTTTTTAGCAGCAAACACATGCACCCACCGGGGCCCTATATTTCAGCAAAGAGCAAGGCGACCGCGCATTGTGGACGATTTGGGGCACTGGGAGCCAAAAAGCACAAAATCAAAGATGGCGCGCGGAAGGCAATGCTGAAGGCATGGTTGGTCTTTCTCTCGTTTTTCATCTAGTTTCCAAGGTTAGTAGCGATAATAGGTGGATCAAACAGTAAGAACTGTAGAAGTTGTCTTTTTACAGTCAAACCAGGTCAAGCGTTCCCGTCGCTAACAAACTAATGAATTCATTAATGGCAAAATGATTTCGTTTGTTGATTCAATAATCCATTCATAAAATGAATAATCCAACAGTCAAATTGGACCTCGATTCAATAATCAAATGTTGATTTGGTTTATGAACAAAATCTACCTGTTCCTTATTCTTGTCTGTTGTGTTCAATCGTATTTGCTTCCTTTTTCCTGTCGTTTACGATTGCGTTTTTCATTGCCTTTAATCAAAATAACAGCTAGAATAGACAGACCGCAAACGCAAAGAAACTATGAGAAACTGACAAAGGCCGAGGATCGAAATCCACCAATCACCGCACATACACTGACCTTAGTTTGACCGTTGTGTTTTCTAAGAGGTCAGGCCTGGGTCTGTTGCACTGATTACTGGCAGCAAACTGGCGTACATGTAACAGTTTGTTTGGGTTTGAACTTCAGAACTCGCCAGCACTCGACTCTCAGAAAAAAAAAGAGGAAAAAACAAAATTCTGAGGTCAACTTGTGGAAAGTGTAGTTTTTCAAAAAATAGTAATCGAATCAACATTCGATTATGGAATCGAGGCTAAATATGAATATTGGATTGTTCATTTTATGAATGGATTATTGAATCAACAAACGAAATCATTTTTCCGTGAATGAATTCATTAGTTCGTTAGCGACGGGAACGCTTGACCTGGTTTGACTGTAAGAAGTGTTAGAATTACTTGTGGTAATGGTTTACCTTACATTTCCCATTTGGTGAGCCCGTATATATTTTAAGGCTGAAGGCTTATGTGCAACTCCTTCAATAATTCAATCTCCCCCTTCTTTAAGTCTCAGCACTTTGAATTTAAGGGGAAATCGTTGCATATCCAAATGGCTCTATTTGCAAATTGGCTTTATAAAATTTAAAAATTAAAAGTGTTACAGTTTATGGAGGAAATATTTTATTTGTTTGCTTAGTGGCCAGGCCTCTTGGGATTTTAGGGGAAGAGGTCGATGAAAAGAACCTTACGCAATGACTACAGTTACAACAACAGGAATTTTACTGGTGATTTCAATTTCTGTTCTTTCAATTGGTTTTGGATTTTTTCAACTGGGTCAATTTTTCAGAGTAACCGGTAGGTAAACTTTCCAGGGGGTTAATTATAGCGACTGTGTCTAAAGCAAAGAGCTGCTTCGTTGAGCTTCTAGATAAAGTGCAAGTAAGAGACGGGCAGATGGGGAGGAAGGACCAAAAGGCAGGTGCCCAACCTTCTTGTGAAACTGACATTGTAGTCCTTTTGTGGACTTGGTCTTTTTTTTCTTTTATTTATTTCTCTCTTTTTCCCTTTTGTTAAAATTGTTATCTACTTTAATGTAAAGAAAAAGTAGTGACCAATAATTGCTGCCTTTTAAATTAACTTCAAAAATGCTAAAAAGTCATCTGAAAATTTTGCAACATTTTCAACAACATGTGGCTGTGTGACTTCTCGCAACTCTCCCGAATCGCTACCTGAATCTTCGGTCTGATTGGAGTGTTCAGCTGAGGTTTGAGTTCGTATATCCCTATCATTCTCAGCACAAGACAGCAGCCATTGAACCTCTAACAATACCAACAACTGACTAAAAGTCATTTAATCACGACAAGCTTGCAAATTGCTGCCTTTTAAATTAGCTTCAAAAATGCTAAAAAGTCATCCGAAAATCTTCCAACATTTTTAACAACATTAAGTCTACAGAAAATTGTTGGAACACTTTGGAATGGTGCTGGGACATTTTCCAAATCCCAGTCATAAGCCGAAAGTCTAAAGCATTTGACTCAAGAGGCTGGCACACATAAAGACCTCCAAAAATTTATCAATGCCATCTTAGATATAACTTAAGCTTAAGATCAATGTTTTGGAAGAACGTTCCCACCAGGGTCTTTTTTTCATGTACATTGTTCGATAAAAAGAACAACTACAATATTAACCTTTCAAAAAAATGCACCATTACCTCCCAAATACTACAATATTAATTTGCAATGTCATGAAAACAAAGACCCCCTAAACGCTGAGTAAGTGACTGGCTGACTTTCTGACTTGCTGATTGAGTTACTGACTGATCGGATGACTAACCGACTTATTGACTGACATGACTTGCTTACCAACATACTTGTCAATTGACTGGCTGACCGGCTCAATTACTGACTGGCTGTTTTACTAAAACTGATTCACTGACAGTCGCATACCGATCGACTGATCATTATTGCTGGCTCATTGACTAATTGACCTGGCCGGCTGGCTGATATACTGAGATTCATGCTAAGAAAAGAATCAAGATTACTGATTGTGATTCAAGATTACTGATTGCTAATGAAGATGGTCAATTTTTCATTTTAGATCGGATGTGACCAGCAGATGTCCTAAGACTTCAGCAGCCAGGATTTTGAGCTTATCTTCAGTACTGTAAGTGCTGTATACATTGCTTTGTGATCTAGATATTAAGTGAATCATAAAAATGGAACTTGTGATTATTGTCTTAAAGTATGATTGACAAACAGATTCATCAGCTTTTAGAGGCCATGCCTGGCATAATTTAACACAAAATTTGAAACTGTTTTGAATTTAATGTCTCTGTAAAATAAGGGATACATGTATATGTCTTAAATTAATATAACTAAATTATAGTGAAATTAGGATTTTTGAAAACTGTTCAGCCTAACAGTTTTTCAAAGTTGATCCCTGCTGTTTGCAACATCAAAAGTAATGCTCATGGAGACATATTTGTTTGTCTTGGATCTCTGATTTTGTCATTTTATTTTACATGTAATTTCTTTGCTTACTCTAAGTTCCGTAGCGATTAAGGGCGAGTAATTGGCAAAATTAAACAAAATGAACTGGACTGCCATGACACAGCCCCTTTAACAGACATCTCATAGTTATGGTAGTTTGCTTTGTCTCTGAGGAAAGAAACCCCTACATTGTCTCTATATTTAATCCATTTAATATGGACAGCTGTTTAAATGGACCTTTTCTAATGACCCTCTCAGTGTAACGGGGATTTGACTGTAATGGTTCTTAGCAAAATTAGTATATGAACTGATAAACAGTATAATTATTCTCGTAATGCTTATGATTGTAATTAAGGGGACTTAGATGCTTATGTATGCTTTTGTTTTTCTTATCCAGATCAGATGCATTATGCCACAAACAGACAGGATCAAGTCTTCAACATTGAGGCTTTAGACGTTATCTTAAGTACCATATAGTTTACTTTGTAATCCAGCTCTTGATTGAACCAGATAAACAAAATGTGGCTTGCTTGTTCAAATGACAATTATTATTAATCTTATCCAGGACACAAAATTAAAAATGCATTTAAATGCACTTTAAGGGAGTTAACAATAAAGTGCATCTTTAAGGGGTTGG